AGTTGTTTATTTTGCTCGGAAGCAAAGTCGTTCTGCGTCTCGTGACTTGAAACCCTCGTTTCGCTCAGGGTTCTCTTTTTGAGCCGCTCGCTTCCCTTGTGGTTCAATATTGGTACCCTTGGCTTGCTCGTGTTTCAATACAAGCACTTGCGTCAATCAACGACGGGCTTTGCATAACAAATAACCATTCTTTCTTTCTTTCCATTTTCTAGAAGGCCAGTTATTTTTATTTTTTTTATGATACGGAAGTAACGGGACGAACAAGTCGTGTTTGTCAGTGTCTATGATATGTCAAATATTTTTCCAGTTACATCAAATACCCAATGACATTGACTTACAATTATATGGACGTCGGGTCCACGCTAAAAAGTGTCCGAACTTATAGGGCGTTAAAATCGTATACAGAGCGTCATTCACGCTTTAGTCTTCGTTTGTTCGACTGACAGCGAAGCAAGCAAAATTAGACAGTACTGCGATGACATTACAATTTAAATTCAACGTTTTAGCTTTTTCATATTCTTTTACATGTCACTAAGTTTAAATATGTTGACTTGGGACATTTTTTTAGTGGTTTTTGTATTAGACCCGTCGTCCATTTATTTGTAAGTCAATGCCCAATGACGAATTTTTTTACAAGTAAGTAGATTTCATCTTCATCTCTCATGATGAAAAGCGACAATCAACGATGTAGCATGCATATTTAAATAATGCCTATTAACTCTAGCCTTCAAAAACCCGAGTTATAGCGTTCGGAGAACAAGTCACAGGCAGGGAATTCCACTCCATTGCCGTAAATGTGGAGGCAAAACGCTTCGTTCTTCATCTTTGGAATATCCACAACATAGGGGAGGACCCCCTAGCCTACGTCCAGTCCCACGATGATGGAATTAGCTCATGCAATTCCAAATGCAATTGCAAATAATAATCTTAGTACAGAGATTTAAAAACACCGACCTTAGAAGCCATTCATCCCCTAGTTTGCCGCCGTTAGAGGTGGAATATTTTCTTAAATTTTAAATGGGACCAATACCGAGTTACCCCCTTTCCAACAAAAAAAGAATCATCAAAATCTGTTCACATAGCCGGAGTTATCGCGTAATATACATACAAAAAAAACACAGTCGAATTGAGAACCTCCTTCTTTAACGTCGGTTAAAAACTAATGTGGGTTTTGTACGCAAACATTCATTAACATGTTTTTTGACAATTGAGAAATTTGAGGTTTACCGTTGTAAGAAATACGATGTACTGTTCCTCTCTTAACCCATATTTCGAGGGAAGAAAAACGTATCGTAAGCATTGAAATTAGCGTGATGATTGTTAAAACGTACCTAAAGCTGATAAAGGCAATTTTAGTGAACTTCAAAATCCTTATAAGACCTTATCTGTTCTTTATAAAGCTCAAAAGAACGAAAATGTTTAAGTCTACGTAAAGCAAAAACAGCCCTGATGGCGGAAGATTTCATAGTTCAGAATTTCGATACGTAAAATAGATATCTAGCTACATTTTATAGATTATATTTGCCTGATTACCTATGTACTAACACTCATTCATGTTTTACTCACTCACTATATGTATGTATGTGTATATGTTAATATTGTAAATAAATATCTCATTATTTATTTATTGACCATGTCTTCATTTTTTGGGGTCCGGTCGACGCCGGAACGTATGAGGATGCGACGGAAGATTACCATCAATTTCCAGACTGACATTACGCTTTCGTGGTAGCAACCATTGACTTACAATTATATGGACGTCGGGTCCGCGCTAAAAAGTGTCCGAACTTACACGAGTAGGGCGTTAAAATCGTATACAGAGCGTCATTCACGCTCTAGTCTTCGTTTGTTCGACTGACAGCGAAGCAAGCAAAACTAGACAGTACTGCGATGACATTACAATTTCAATTCAACGTTTTAGCTTTTTCATATTCTTTGACATGTCACTACGTTTAAATAGGTTGACTTGGGACATTTTTTCGTGATTTTTGTATTAGACCCGTCGTCGTCCATTTATTTGTAAGTCAATGGTAGCAACACATAGTTTTTTGTATTAAAATTCAATTTTTTAACTGCTTACATACTTTTAATTCTTAATTGTGATAATTCCAATTTTAACCTTAATGTTATTATTATTTTTTCTCTTTCTAAATTTACATGTGTTATTGATGTGTTGTAAGCCGTAAGCAAAACGTTTTCTATTCTATTTCCTATTAATCTTAAAACAGCACACGACTCTATATCTTTCAAAAAATGTTTGAAACATCTCTTGTCGGAAAAGTAATTTTACCATGTTGAAGAATTTGTTGTTGGAGGCACTTGACAATTAGTAGCAGTAGAGGTCCTTGTGAGAGAGTTCATCCAGGGAAGTACTGCCATCTTACCTATATCTGCCGCCAAGCATTAATGTGAGCATTGCTGTTTGAAGGGTGCAGGCATATGGGACTCGTCAACTTATAACTCAGGGTGACGGGCGCAGTGCCCTTCAGATCTTTGCGATTTAAAGCTCTTAGTGCCACTGTACTGTTATGGACAGGCGCGTCGCTTACCATCAGGCGTACGACTTGTTCTTCCCGTCACTTAACACAAAATTATTCAGTTATTATTGTATTATTATTATGTTTCCTTAATGACTTATTAACATTGTACATGTTCGGTCTCTTATTTGATTAAAGTTTTTTAATAAAATTGTATATTTTTCCGACAAATTAACTAAAAAAAGTAATAAGAAATTTGTTATTGGATACGTTATTGTAGAAAGGAATAACTAAAGACTAATTATTTTCTTTTTATTTATTAGGTTCATCAATAGTTGTTACATCAAATAACATGTTACACAATTTGTTATTAGAATTATGCCAAGATGCGTAACTAGTGACAGACGAAACACAACTTGCATTGAGCAGATTAGTCCTAATATTTAAGTGCCATGAAATCCAATACAATTACAAAAGAAACAGAGAACAATGTAGATAATAGTTAGATAAAAAACATGAAAATCAATAATAATACTTATAGATAAGATGTTTACATGCTAATTATTGCTCTACCGAGTCCGAGAACAAATCCACTGTGGAACTGTGCTCATTGTGTAGTCTAGACAGACGGCAGACTGGTGAATTTAGACCTAGTTTAGTTCTTCTAAATGGTGGCGACAGAAGGGCAACAATCTTACGACGAGGTTAAATTTGAACATTGCTGTCAAATTGTCCGCCAATCAAATTTGTTATTACTTATGTGAATCATTGTAAAATGTAACACATGTACCTGAAGTAGGAGAATCCTGTATTTGAGGTAAAAAGTACTAATTATACAAATGGAAATTAAATTACAAATAAAAATAATTAATAATTATAAATAAATCATAAAAATACTATTGTCAAGAAAAAAAAATAAATATAAACAGTAGTAAGTAAAACCTATAGTCCACTTACCCACCTGACTATATAAATTTTTTCCAAGTGTTAAAGTGAAATGACAAAACATGACCCCCTTTTGGATTTTACGTAATCGGATATAACTGCTATAGACGGGTATAAAAAGAGCAATTTTCTTTAATGGGTTCGTTTGTACGGTCGTCGACGAAAGCCCTTGAAGACTAGACATAAAGCCTTCAAGGCCTCCACTCGACCTTCGGACCTTGTTATAATGTCTTTGTTACAAAAAATGAAGAAAGAGGCTGTTCAAACGGAGTATCTTAGTCATCCCGGAAAATTTGAAAAAATATTGGCTCTTTTCGGTGACAGAATTGCGTGGTTTACATTGAACGGATTGACAAATCTTATATTATAAATTGTTGTAACGACGACAGCAAAGTGTTATGCAAGTAAGTGTCGTGGCTAATATATATAAATGAAGTTGTTCACATAATTATAGTAAAACACAACTTTTTTGGCTTTACGACAACAGACTGTTAAGACAATGAGAAGAGCTAGAGCGACAGTCGTCAGACGATAAATAAAACGTCACAATAAAAATATGACGACAGTTAATCGAAGCTACTATTGTCGTCAGATTTTATTTATCGTTGTGTCATATCTGTAAACGACAAGGAGGCTGCCGTGAAACGAGAAATTGTCGTCACGATCCAGTGGGACCAGCACGATTGTTGTTCGGCGATAAAAAAGTCCACAACACAGTCACGACAGATAGTCGTGTTTATGGGAACATGTTAGACGCGACAGTCGTCCAATGATAAATAAGAAGACATAATGAGAACGCTCCCTTATCGGCAAAATCTTAACTAAATCTAAACTAAGATAAATAATATTACACTGTTATTACAATAGTGCTGTAACTTAAAATTGTAGAAATTCAAGATTACTATTTCTGAATTTAAAATTTGATTCTCTACATGTCAATACAAACGTCCTCAGAATATTCTGAGAAACAATTGGACGTAGTTAAACAAAAAGGATCTAATCCACATCCAGTCAATTTCGAGATATGGCAGTTTGAAATTTAAAAGTATTTCTCACTCTTGTTTTATTATCAAAATTTATAATGTCATGTAACCCAGAGATATTTATCGAGTTCTTAGGTTTTCGCGATTGTTACACATAGGAAATGAAACTATTTTTCTGGATTTAATTCGCGTATATTTGTTTTTTCAAACAAACCGACGTTTCGGGCCCTTTACAGGTCCCATGGTCACGTCAAACGTCGGTTTGTTTGAAAAAACAAATATACGCGATTTAAATCCGGAAAAATAGTTTCATTTTCTATCCAGAGATATTTATTTATGTTTATATGATGGTTTTTTTTGCTGATCTAAGAGGTTAGACTTTAGGAACCGTTTGATACATAACACACACGTTTGGTACACAACTCATTTTTTGATAATTTTGTGGATTGGATCGTTTTTGCTTAACTATGTCCAATTACAAGATAAGTATTGAACCCAAAATGAAACAAATTTTTTGTGAGCTAGTTCTAGACAAAGCAGACTTTAGTCAAAAATAAGAAATTATATTATTACTACATCGGGAAGTATTCTTTACATTTTTAACAATTGCGAGATCTTGTACAGAGCCTCCATACACTATCTACGTACGGTGGAGTGCGGACGCTTCGGGCTTCGCTCTCCGATGGACCTCCTACGGCGTTGCTATTTAAAAATTGCAAAAATATATTTTTACTGCCAATTATTATCAAACACCCACACACCGATTTTCAGTCGGATTAGAGCAAGTTTTTTTCTGCCGCCAAAAAATATTGGTATGTCGCCTATATTGGCATAAAAATAAAATTATGCCAATAAAGGGCTATGTTAATTTATATTTATATACATTACTATGTTAACTACCTCCGTGGCCGAATGGTTACCATACCGGACTGCCACGCAGAGGTCCCCGGGTTCGATTCCCGGGCCGGGAGAAATATTTGTATGGCCTACATTTATTTCTCTCGTGAGTTTGGGTGTAATTTGTGGTTGTCTATGTGTGTGTCCATGGTACCCGCGACACAGGGTTTCCCTAGTGCGGGGCTATGTTGAGTGTGTGCGTTATTATTATTATTACTCACCACGCGAAGAGGCATCTTGTGGGCATCCAGGATGGAGATGGCTAGGAGGGCAGCGACTGCATGAACACTGCACTGTTTTCCTTCGCGTTTGGATACCCCTTTCCATTTAAAATCAGGTGGAGTTATCTGCCCGTCATGTGTAAAAGAATATACAAAGAAGAATTGTCACACCCCGTCATTTTTAAACTGATATATGGTATAGTAAAGTCAAAAGCGCTTTTATCATAATGAAAGTTATAAAAATAATGGAACAATGGCACGGTTTGCTAGAAGATGTTGGTTCGAATCCAGCTGGATCGAAGGATTTTTTTCTAAGTGTTTGTGTCTATTTATTTAATTAATTTATTTATATAACACAATGTCTCAGGGTTGTCGGGAACGGGACATCGGAACTTATTGTGTTGCTCTGAAATGAAGTTTTTTATTAGCATAAGTTTACATTTATTGTCCTTTAAACCTACAAATTACAGTATTTAATGTTTTATCTTACATGAAATGAAGACATTAAGAAAAGTCACCACTCTTTTATCGACGAATGTAACAAAAGGAAACTTCGCAGAAATCCAATTTCTTTTACTCATTTAATATAAATAATATTAATAAAAACTGAGACCCAATTAAAGATCCTCAGAAGTAAAAATATAATAAGGAATCTGGGTGCAAAATTTACCTAACTTATAATATTTAAACATAAAAAAAGAAGAAAAACCACAGAAGTTGTAAGCCTCATTAAAAGTCAAAGAAGTCCGAAATGACATTTTCCAGAAATAACGTTTGGTTGAATTTTCATAACCTCGAAACTAAGTATGACAGGAAAATGTTTTTTTCTTTTCAACCTAACTTAACCGAACCTAATCGTGTCTGCGATAAACATCCAATCCTGAAAGAACAATGGTTTCGTTATAATTCGGTTTTCGGTGTAATGAAAATTCGTACAAACGTTATTGCAGCTCTCAGCATAAATAAAAATAGTGACCAATTTATATATTTTGTAGAATCTTTAAACCTAACTCCAGAAAAGTCGTCGTTGTTAGTAGCAGTAGAGCTCCTTGTGAAAGAGTTCGTCCAGGGAAGTACTGCTACCTTATCTATTTCTACCACCAAGCTGTAATGTCAGCATTACTGTTTTCCGGTTTTGAAGGGTAAAGGTGTTGGTGAAATTGCAGGCACATGGGACTTGTCAACTTATGTCTCAGGGTGTCGGGCGCAGTGTCAGTACCCCTCAGATCTTTGGAACTTAACGCTCTAAATGGCACTGCAAATGTTATGGACAGACGTGCAGCTTACCATCAGGCGCACGACATGTTCGTCCCGTCATTTGATATTATAATAATAATCTCAGTACAGAGTACTAAAAAAACCGACCTCAAAAGTACGTGGAATTACGTCTATTAGCTAAGTTTTATTGAAATATCCCCTAGTTCGCCACTATACAGGACTTGACGCTGGAGATAATAAAAATAGGTTCTCACTACGACACTACTCAAAGAATATTGAGAGAAAAACGCCTTGAATGGAAGAAATAGCAAAATCAACCACTAAAGTAATTGCTCCTAAATTAAAGTTAGGCGCTATTTATAAAAGTGAATCTTCATGCGTGCCACCCTTCGAGGTAGATGATTTTCTTCAAAATGAAATGGGACCACTACGGAAGTACCCCCTTTCCAACAAAAAAGAATCATGAAAATCGGTTCACAAATACCGGAGTTATCGTCTATATTAAAAAAATAATTGCTTATTTGGCTTAATTACAACAAGGACGCGATATTTGTCAGTGTCAATACTTCTGCTTTTTCGTTGTTGGTCAAAAAAGAGTGTGATCTCAGTATCTAATAAAATATGAACAATTTACCATCCGCCATTACCATGTCAGAATTAACATAAAAATTTCATTTCATCGCAGTCGGAAGAAATTGATCAAATATTTTATGTCTGGGTTGAACATTTTACAACACAGGATTTTAGACAGATCCACAGATAGATTATAAATATTATCATAGCGTAATCAACATCGTAATTGGCATACATAATGGTTTTCAACCCTCGACGCAAAACCAGGGAGTTAGAAGTATGAATATATAGAAAAATGGATAGAACGAGTCCTGAACAACATTTTATCAAATTTGACCAACTTCTGCTGTTCCGATTATTTTTTTCCAGTACAATAAAAAATATTATTATAAGATATTGCATCTATCAGCATTAAAAAAAATTTGTAAATTTTATTGATTTTGTATGAAAAAGAATTTTTATTAAATTTGACCAACTTCTGCTGTCCCGATTTTTTTCTTTTCGTACAATGAAATCATACTTATAAGAAACTGAGTCTATTACTTCTATTAGCATTAAAAAAAAATATTGGTTTTGTATGAAAAATATTTTATGATATTTGACCAACTTCGGCTATCCCGATTTTTTTCTTCCTATACATTGAAATGATCCCTTTATGAAACTGAGTCGATTAGCACAATAAAAAAAATAATTTATGAACAACTCACGCTTGACCAAAAAATTTACTATACCAAAATTGTTTTCACGAAAAAAGACTTAATGGTTTCTAAGATTTGTATCTTCTAAGGTTTCCGATTCCCCCATGTAATGTAATAGATAATAGATAGAGAAGTTCAGATGCGTCACGTGAAAAATGATTGGTTCTCCATAAAAAAATTTCATCCCCATTTAAGGTTATTTGTGTCATTTTATTTAATTTCATTTCGTATTTATAATATTAGTTTCGATTAAATGACAGGGCGAATAAGTCGTCCACCTGGTGTGAAGCGACATGCTTGTCCATAGCAGTTGCAACGTCACTAAGATCTTTAAGTCTATAAAACCTCAAATGCCTTTGGTTGATTCCGTATAACATTGAAAGTGTTGAATTTTGGAAAAAATATTTAATAAAATTGAGTATACGCATTTTCACGAAATAAAAAAAACACTAACTTTATAAGAAAACCGCTGCAATCAATAGGTACTTTACATACACCAATGATTTTTTTTATATCAACTGAACTAAATAGAAGACGTATACTGTACGGTATACATTTTTCCAAAAAAAAATCAAATAAAAAAAAAATCAATTCTGAAATAAAGCCAGTGTCCCTGTCGTTCGATTCAAGTAAAAGAAACCGTATTAATACGGGCAAAACTTCTCGAATCTCGAAAATTTCTCGAATACGAGCTAAGTAATATCGACTCTGAAGGTTTAATGGCATTAATCGAGACTAAGTGTACGTGTAGCCACGACTTTTAATAGCAAAAGTGAAAGAGTTTGTCCAGCGAGGTACTGCCGCCTTACCTATTTCTGCCGCCTAGCAGTAATGTGAGGGTAAGGGTCCCAGGGTGACAGGCGCAGCGGCAATGCCCCTCAGATCTTTGCGATTTAAAGCTCTGAGTGTCACTGCAATTGTTAAGGCGTGTCGCTTTAAAAACTACATTAAAAATATTTTGTTTGAAAAGTCATATTACAAAATTGAAGACTACGTGTTAGATAAAGATGTATGAAAAGACGACACGGCTTCAGAATCCACACAAATTTGATTCAAATTATATTCCATAGCACTTAAGCTTATTTGAAAAGAATAATCCCTAGAGTTTCTTGCTCGTTCTTCTCAGGGAAATCAGTGTAGTGAACGAGCTGTAGCTTAATGTAATGTAATGTAAATGTGACGTTTTCAAGTGTAAATTTATTTTACCTATTGAATAAATGATCTTTGACTTTGCTTACCACCAGGCGGACTATTTCATTGTCCCGGCACTTGGTAATATATAAAGCCAGTGTCCCTACCGCTCAACACAAACAAAATAAACCATATTAGTACGGGAAAAAATTGAACCAAGCTGACCTCACTTGAGAGACACTGCCACTACGGCCGTCACCCTAAGACATAAGTCGCATCTATCTCTATACCAAAATACACCAAAATTGGTCCACCGGTTTAGGCATTAAAACCTACAGCAGAGTTCCTTTTATAATAATAATAATAACGCACACATTCAACATAGCGCCGCACTGGGGAAACCCTGTGTCGCGGGTGCCATAGACACACATATAGACAATCACAAATTACATCCAAACTCACGAGAGAAATAAATAGAGGCCGTATGATATTTCTCCCGGCCGTATCGAACCTGGGACCTGTGTGGCATTCACGCAAACTATTCAGCCACGGAGTCAGTTTTATAATATTTGTTTAAATGATAACATTTTGATTATACTAAATGCGGTTTTTCTTTAACTCCTGCGTATTTATTTTCCATTTAATTTCTCCTTTGACCCCTAAAGCTCCCCCTACATCCCAGGGGCTCCCCTTGTTTAACCTTGTCAAAGCAAAGCCAATATTTATACACTCGCGAACGTAAAAAAAGAAATTTGTTTTATTGAAATAAATGAACTTCTGTTATGTAAAAGATTTTTTATTATTTTACGTACTGGGTTTGGTTACAAACAGGGCGTGACTGTTACAAACACTTAACTAGATAACTTTATAACTAGATATAAAGAGCATGTTTCTGCGTTTAGGCATAAGCACTTAGATAGGTCCAATTTCGCTAAACATTTGTTAGAAACAAATAATATTTTACCGGATGGGAATCTTATGAAATCTTAACCTATCTTGAAAAATGAGGATACATTATTGTTATATACATATTTATATTTATTACTAAGCATAAGTTTATTTAGGTATATTTAAATATACTAAAATGTACGTAAGCACACGCTTAACAGGAGTGTCTCTTAACATCAGGTGCACGATTTGTTTGTCTCGTCATTTGGTGTCATAAAAAATCATAACTTTCTTACAACAAAAAACCCACCTCATAAGTTCGTGGAATAACATCTATTTAGTGCATGAAACCGGATTCATCCCCTAGTTTGCCACCCTTAGTTGCCAAATGCCGGAGTCATCGCGTAACATACACACACAAAAAATACAGTCGAAGTCGGTTAAAAAAAGACGTCATAACCATAATAGTCATTTTGAAGGTACATTAAGTATAGTCGGATTTTTTATTGCAGATATAGTGACTACAGTGTAAGAAGACTAATTCCTTCAATGTTATCTCTCAGAGACACTCTTTGGTCTTGTTTGCAAATTGCCCTAACAGCAGTCATCTCAAAGATT